AGTTAAATCACTTTTAAACTAAAAATATTATATTTGATTTAAGATTTTATCTTTACCTACTTTTTTGGAAAGTGAAAGCCTACAACGGTTGCAACAATAAATGGATTTTACAGGATTACTCTAATACCCTTTATTAGTTGCACGTTACTATTTTCATTTATAGGAGAAAGATTGCATGTGATGAAGTGCATCTTTATATTGTGAGTCAATTGATTAATGGTCATTCATTTAATGAGATGATGGGTTAGGATGCTTATTACAAATATTGGCATTTTTGTAATACAACCTAACTTTTCTAGGGTGCAACTCGTTGAACGTTAATGTGCAATTGCTATTTTATGACTATATAATATGCAACACTTTGAACCTTAATATGCAATGCAAATAACGTCAAGGTGCATCGTACAAACATTTGCACAATAAGCAGAATTCGTACTTTTTATTCTGCACATTTCAGCTTCACCTAGTGCACATTTCAATTTCACGTAATGCATAATTCAACTGCACATAATGTCACTCTATCGTACCCTTTGTGATGCACATTTCAATTTCACCTAATGCACAAATTATTTTCATCTAATGCACATTGAATTTCACTTGAAGCAAATCTAACGGTTCAGATTCGTTCTCATTTCTCTCATAAGATCATGTTCTTATTTGAACCAAAACATATATATATATATATATATATATATATATATATATATATATATATATATATATATACATATATATATATATATATATATATATATATACATATATATATATATATATATATATATATATATATAGAATAGAGATCAAATACAAAGCCTTCTTAATTTACAAAGTACAAACTCATCTTGACCGTCCGATGAGTTGATCCAAAGGACATAAAGGCAAGATGGCATTTTTGTAATAAAACTCAACTTTTTAGGGTGCAACTCGTTGCACCTTAATGTGCATCTGCTATTTTTATGACTTTATAATGTGCAATACTTTGAACCTCAATATGCAATGCAAATAACGTCAAGGTGCATCGTACAAATATTTGCACAATAAGCACACTTTGTACTTGATCTTTCCCCTATATATACACACACACACACACCCATTTGAATTAACTAATACTTAAATTTAACTAATATTATTAAAAAATTAAGTAATTTAACACTACATTTAAATTAATCCTACGTTTAACTAATTTTAACTAATTCAATTCGTTAATTAATTGCCAACCTTTTTTCTACACATTACAATTAACTAGTATATTTAAATTTAACTAATATTATCAAAAGCTACACTAACTTAACTAATTAATTTAACTTAATTATTTAAAACCTACGTTTAGCTAACTAATTTTACTTAATTTAACTTAATGCATCACTACGTTTAAAACTACGCTTAGCTAACCAATTTTAAATTGAATCAACTAATTCTAAGTAAAAAGAATTCAAATAACATACCTTATTATCTGCATAAATAGGGAAAATGACATAAGATGGACTACATCCTTCGATCTTTCAAACAGATACTGTATTATATATACATGGAATGAATTGGTGTGAACTGTATTATATATACATGGAATGAATTGGTGTGGTTCAGTTATATAAAAAACCTAGTCACGGACCTAGTCACGGAATTTTCCGTGACTAAATTTTGAGAAATTAATTTTGAGCGCTGGAAATTTAATTTTTTTTTAGTCACGGACGTAGTCACGGATAAATCCGTGACTAAGTCGCCGGAATAAAAACGGGCTTACCGGCGACGGAGTTGGGGCAACCGGAGGACTTTAGTCACGGTTCGTAGTCACGGATTTATGTAGTCACGGACTTAGTCACGGCCAAATCCGTGACTAATTTTTTTTTCAAAAATCCGTGACTAGCCCGTGACTAGCCCCACTAACGTCCGTGACTAAAGGCGTGTTTTTTTGTAGTGATTACTAAGCTTTGATAGCGTTTTGTTGAGTTGGTCTAAACTTTTTATAGCGTTTTCAAGTGTTATTATATAAAGTGGAAGATGTCAATGTGGCGGTCTACCTTTGATAGCACAAAAAAACGCTATGTTTAATTTACATTTCATAGCGTTTGAAAACTGTTATTACATGTTATGTTATAGCGTTTTTTCAACTGCTATGGATGGTATTAGTTGGTGTAGTGTTTTATGTATAACAAATAGATGCTCCTAGAGTAATTAATCAAATTCGTCCATAACTAATTTAAATACACGCTGCTATGTAATATGTTCATTTTTCTTTAAGCGATTATTATGTATAAATGTGAACATGTTGGACTTTGAATGATGCTCCTATATAATAATGATTTTTGTACCAACATCAACAATTCATCACATTACATTCATCCTTCGATGGTAATAACACAAGATTTAATGAAATATAATAAATAATTCATAATTTCGTGGAAATGTCAATTGTAAAACATTAAATAAAAATTAATTAACTATACTCATTTGGAAATTAAATGATTGTTTTATAATGATTAAAAATCGTAGTGAAGGGCTACTTTATTCTTAACACAAGAGTCCAGTTTTTTTTTTTAATATAAGTAGTTTTTATTTGATTTTTAGTGTTGGAATTCTATTTTTATATAGCTACGGATTTCTATTTAATATAACAACATATATATGCTCTTTTTGTCAAATTATATCATTTAGTTACATTCTAATTTTATTTCATGAAATAGCATCCACAAAATACAAAAGGTTTTTTGTCGTGTGCATCGTGCCGGTACTATGCTAGTTTTTATAAAACATATACTCCGTATTATTTATTTATATGCATCTTAAACCTAATATTATGAAAATTATCATTTTTTTTAATAAGCAAAATTTTATTAAAAGTAAATAAGAAGAGTACATAAAGATCAAAAAATAAACAAGAACGCAAATGAATGAATGATCCAAAAAGACCCTGCAAATCCCTAAAGTAAAACGTTTAGCTCCCCGTCGAGATGTACTGAGTTACCCGAAAGAGATGAAGTCCCCAAAATAACCAAAAGCTAATCATGTAAGCAGAAATGACCCTATGTTTCAACCAATTTTTTAGCCTTCAGACGGGCACTGTGTTGATGTAGCAATCTAGAACTGGCTGAGTCCCATTTAGTATCAGCAACGCGGTCTAGTAACTCACGATCAGAAAAGTGTCATTTGAACAGGCGTAAGTTCAAGATTGTTACCACCCGAAACATTAGGTTCCAAAACTGCCATTTGAGGAGAAACTAATCCATCCGCTAATAGTTCGGAGTGAGGTGAATAAGAAACTTGAAGAGGAGTAGTTTTAAGGATATTATCAATATCTTTAGCATGAGAAACACCCTTTGAAAAATAATGATCTTATTCTGATCTGAGAAAGAGATCTGGAGATGAATAATATCAATAACTCCCTCTTCATCGCGAACATTTTCAATGATTGCCTCCTCAAAGACTTCCACACTACGATCACCCTCTCCAAAGAAGTTATATGCTCTATATCGGCGTGAAATAAATCGCTCGAAATGGAAAAATCAGACTCTCCAGAATGAATATTATCTCCATTTAAGAGAAAATCAAACTCATGGATATGTGAATTTGACACCTCCCCTGAATCATGCCCAAATGTTGGTGATTTGAATTGTTGGTGATTTTGGAGACTAATATTTGTGTTATTATTTATGGTTTGTACTTTTGAATTTTGATTAATTTTATTTGAAAACGAGCTTTAAAATATAAAAGGAGGATAAAATGATTTCACATTCGGGCTTTAACCGGCCCAACCCGAACCCAAACTGAACCCGTGCTACAAAAAACCCGACTCGGATCGAATATAATGGCCTTCGTTCCGGTCTCTATTTTTTCATAACCCGAGACCTTACGGGTAATTTCCAGGGTTTAACAAAACCCCGAACCAGACCAGGCCGATCCCACCCCTAGTTTTCACTTTCAAATTCTTGTACTCCGTATAATATTTGATACTTTTTAATTAAACTTAACAAATATTTAGTTCTTTGTTTTTTGATTTCTTATATTTCCATTATTACTATTTATTTTAGTATAAATATATACTTCAAGATAATTATTTTTGAGGAATCTTTTGTCACATATTTTTTACATTGGCCCGCGGGCCAACCTGTTTAGCTCACGGATTAAGTGAGTTGGATTAGTGTTGTAAATATTCTGACCCGGATCGAATATAATGGCCTTTGTTCCGGTCTCTATTTTTTCATAACCCGAGACCTTACGGGTAATTTCCAGGGTTTAACAAAACCCCGAACCAGACCAGGCCGATCCCACCCCTAGTTTTCACTTTCAAATTCTTGTACTCCGTATAATATTTGATACTTTTTAATTAAACTTAACAAATATTTAGTTCTTAGTTTTTTGATTTCTTATATTTCCATTATTACTATTTATTTTAGTATAAATATATACTTCAAGATAATTATTTTTGAGGAATCTTTTGTCACATATTTTTTACATTGGCCCGCGGGCCAACCTGTTTAGCTCACGGATTAAGTGAGTTGGATTAGTGTTGTAAATATTCTGACCCGGATCGAATATAATGGCCTTTGTTCCGGTCTCTATTTTTTCATAACCCGAGACCTTACGGGTAATTTCCAGGGTTTAACAAAACCCCGAACCAGACCAGGCCGATCCCACCCCTAGTTTTCACTTTCAAATTCTTGTACTCCGTATAATATTTGATACTTTTTAATTAAACTTAACAAATATTTAGTTCTTAGTTTTTTGATTTCTTATATTTCCATTATTACTATTTATTTTAGTATAAATATATACTTCAAGATAATTATTTTTAAGGAATCTTTTGTGACATATTTTTTACATTGGCCCGCGGGCCAACTTGTTTAGCTCACGGATTAAGTGAGTTGGATTAGTGTTGTAAATATTCTGACCCGTCACTAAACGGGTTGGCCCGACCCAACCCGCATAGAGCATAACGGGTTGGGTTGGGTCTGGTTGCCCGTTGGGTTGGGTCGGGTTACCCAACTCGTATATGGTTTCCAATTTCATCGTGTTTCCTGATCCTTTTTGGACATGATAGGATGGTGAGTATTCTATCAGTTGTATAACCAAACTGAAAGTATCTTTGCTTGTGATCCTGGCTTCCAGCTTAACATTCCTTTCGCGCGGGGATATATATATATATATAGATTTAATTAGGCAGTATTTATTTATCCCTCAAGTAAGAGCGAAAATTGAATCATGCAGACGAGTTATGGTGTTAAATTTGGTAAGAATTTGATGTGTTTATTCATATACGGTGTGGGTGGGCTTTCAAAAAGTAATCGACGGCGGGGGTGATTGATTTCGTTTGATTTTCGTTGGCGTCTTCAGGGGTATGGTTCGCGCAGCATCAGTTGGTTTTGCCCTTAATGGTCCTCACAGGATTGGGGCTTGGAATCGGAACTGTAATTTTTCCATACTTGCGCCTGAAAAAGAAGGTATTTTTAGCTTTGGTCATTTATACTGTTTTGTTCCCCCCATTAATTTATGTGTTCTGCAACCATATTTCAAGATTTGGGTCGGTTTTCTGTAGTTCAAAATTGTATGTTTGCGAAGATTTCATACTCCATCCCTAAAGCAAGCAAACAAATAGAAAAAAAGTTATGTTTCTGTTTAAGTTTATGGAAAGTTACAACCCTTTCGAAGTATGCGCCCTACTTATATTTTGAAATTATTTGTTTGCCAAACTAAATATAGCATGCTTTACTTAGTTGGGGCACATTTTTGAGTTCTGTTGGAACAATCAAGCTTATTTTAACGAAAAAATCTAATTAATTTCAGTGAAAAAGGATTTATTTTGTTGAAAGGTGGTTCTTTTGTTATATTTTGTTATATGAAAGGGCAAACTTGTGGATGGTCAAGTTCCAATCACCTTGAGTGTTTTTCCTTTGCGGTAACCATTTATGTATGAAATTAAGTAATTATGGTTTGCAATTCCATTAGGAGGTGAGGGGTGATGATGGCTACACAGAGGAAGACCTAATAAGTGCAATGCCAAATGATATATTGTGCTCCATCCTCTCACGACTGGATACAAAAGATGTGGTTAGGACTAGCATATTGTGTAGCAGATGGAGCAACCTCTATCTTTCTCTGCCTGATTATTCTTTTAGCTGCCGATGCTCGTTCAAGGTTCCTTTCTTTGGCCAGTGTAGTTGTACAGCTGAGTACAAGAAGAAATTTCTGACCCTCTTGGATCGGTTTTTTCGAATCCCTAGAGGAGCTGGCTGTGAAAAGATTAAATCTTTCAGTTTGTCGTTGTGTGTGATGAGAGAATTCAAGGGTCACATTGAGCGTTGGGTGCGTCACATTGGTGGATTGGGTGTGGAAGAACTTGCACTCAGGTTGTGTTGTCAAGAGGGTACAGAACATATCACATTTCCGCTTCAGAAGCTTTTATGCGAAGCAGCAGCAGCACCGATGCTCAAATCTCTGCATTTGGTCGCATGCACCCTGGAACCCTTCAATCCCCAATGGCCTTTCAAATCTCTAACATCTCTAAGGTTGGGTTATATCAAATCAGTTGATGTGCAGGGCATATTGTCCTCATGTCCGGAACTTGAATCTCTAACATTGGAGTACTGCTGTCTTCCTCATAAGGTGTTCATTGGCGGAGGGAAACAACTGAAGTTGAAATCATTAACCATTTATGGGTGTTATGGGGGGGTCGAGGATATATCCTTGTATGCTGAAAACCTTGTAATCTTGGAAGTTGAGTTGCATATAGATTCAGCAACGAAGTTTTCTCACCCTACCAATGCCCCCAAGCTCCAGCATGTCAGCATCACGGTAATGCGCTTCAATGATATGCATGACATCATTATCTGGGTAGGAAAGGATTGTCCTCAGGTTGAATCTCTTTATCTTGATTTGTGGTTGGGAAACCGCACTTGGTCATATACTTTGCCACACGAGGTGCCCACATTTGAACGTATGAGGCAGCTTTACATACAAATGGAGTTCAATGAGTTGTTTGATGTGTCCCAAGTTGCTGCTTTAATCACTGGCTGTCCACTGCTTCACAGATTGCATTTAGTGGTGAGTCCCCTTTCTTAGTGAGGAGCGGGTATTCTTTCTTATTTAATGGTTTGCTTGGATTGAGTTGAACCTGGGTAAAATTATTTGATTCACCTCTATTGTGAACTCAATATTTGATACTCCCTCCGTTCCATTTAAAGGTTCCCGTCCACTATTCACATGGTCAACTTAAATCATTCTTAACCTTTTGCTTTATATATCAAATTTTTATGAAATTTATATTTTTTTAATCAGGCTTTGTAGTGACTTTAATGTAGTTTCTGAATATGTAAATTTTATTTACTAGAAATAATCAGAGTGTGAACAGGCATCGAGTTGCTTTATCGTCAATCAAGCATCGCAACGCGAACCGGGAACCCCTATATGGGACTAAGGGAGTATTATTAAAATAAGCTGGATCCATTTTGGCAGATAAAACTTCTCTCTCCCTCTCTGTAAGCATAAACCTGTGCAGAAGAATGCATTTGCTAACATTAAGCTGTGTCTGAAACTTGGGTATTTCAGTGTTTGTTTCCAGGAATATGATACAGGCCATTTTTGCTGTGTATATCAGCGTCGCAGAAAGGATCCTAATTAATTAATCTAGAAATTATTCTGTCTGTTCTATTTAATTAGCATTTGTTGTTTCAGTTGCTTCCTATTAATTAGCTTTCCATATTTTAGTTAACTTCTTATTCCTGACTATAGTAGTTAAAGGCTCTTTCCTATTCTTGTTTTAGGAAACTATCTTTTGCCTATATAAGGCAAAAGATAGTTAAATTATTGGCTTTGGGAATATATAATCTTTTGATCTTTTGGTGGAACTATTGATCACCTTCCTTGACCAGGGCAGAATGTTTGGTTTTTTAATTCCAGACACTACATCCCTCTTTCAATTCTCAGCAACCTTGGACAAGATCTTGTACCAAGGCCCTTGACAGAATATAGGAGAAGGCATTCTGTATTTTCCTGTGTTTGGCACACAAATACAACTTTCTCAAAAATGACTTCCATCTTTTGAAAAACTGGGGGTTGTTTTTTATGAAACATTTCTTCCTTTTCCCCTTTTTTGTGTGTGTGGGTTGAACACTGTTATACTATACTTGTACATACAAGCAAGAGAACATCTTAATCGTTTACCAGGAAACCATCAGTTTGTTTTTAGTTCTTCAACAAACAGTCACTGCTGGGTAATGATGATAAGTTTCCATGTTTACAGGGAAGGGGGAGAAAAGGAGACTATTTTTTTATTGGAGATGGAGTTCCTCTCAGAAATCATCATCTTCATCTTCATCTTAAAGAAGTAGAATTTGGTGGGTTCCTTGGTTTGGAGAATGAAGTTGATTTGGTATCATATATCCTGAAAAGTGCTTTGGCTCTTGAGAGGATGGTGTTAAGCAGGGATTATAGGTGGTATACTGGTGCTAGTGGAGGAGGAAGGTGGGAGGAGAGAAAAGATTACAGAGGGCCTACTTGGTCGGAAAATCCACCATATACTGTAACATTTGATCACAGCAAATTAGAAACAATCCATCAGCAATTGAGGGGGAAGGCTGTATCTCCAACAGCACAAGTGATTGTCATTTAGGATGTGTTCCTTTGTGCTCCATCCATTTTTCCCTTCTAAGTTGTTCAGTTTTAGTTTTAGATTTTTAATTGTTTGATTTGTCTACTACTACTATTTTTATTACTTCTTGTACTATTATTATTATTATTATTATTATTATTATTATTATTTAATGAAGTGATAGTCATTCTTTATTTTAATTTATGGTGTAATACATATTATGGAATATTAATGCGAGTGTAAGACACATTTTTTATAAGAACATAGAAATACTTGTCCTATACTGTTGTACATAATAAAAGCACAACAAAAAATTACTGTTCATTGAACAGTTCTCCCGCCTAATGTTTTTACGCATCTGCACCGCCCATTAAAAACATCTTACACCGTCCATCTATCTTCACCCCGATTCTCCAGATCAATCGCCGTGCCGCGCCACGCCGCATCTTCCTCCATCTCTTCCCCATCTCCATTTTCAAGCCTTCTTCATCCTCATCAATCTCTGTCCAGACCAATACCTAGAAAATTTTCTTTATTGAGCCAATTGACCAAATGATAGAGACCTCCAGATTCCAGAACAGTTACAAGAAGAGTAACAAGAAATCAGATGAAGAATTTTATTCAAGAAATATCGATTACAGAAAAGAAACAATGAACAAGGCCGAAGCCCCCAAAGTAGACCTGGACTCGGGCCGGGCGGCCCGGCCCGGAACCGGCCCGGCCCGGTTACTGTGAGGCCCGGCCCGGCCCGGAGCTCGGTGGGCCCACCGGTTCGGTTCGGCCCGGCCCGGCTGCTGGGCGGTTCGGGCTCGGGCCGAGGTTTTGGCGAACCGGCCCGGCCGGTTCGGGCCCGGTTCGGTTCGCTTTTTAATTTTTTTTTTTTTTTTTTTTGAATTTTTTTTAAGTTTTGGGTTGGATTAGGTATTTTGGGCCATTTGAGGTGGTTTGGGGTAGTTTGGGGTTGAGGGGGAGGGGTTGGGGGTTAAATAGAAGAGCCAAAAAAAAAAAAATATTTCCGGGTAGGCCCGGCCCGGCCCGGTTTGGCCCGGAACCGGAACCGCCCACCGGCAGTTCGGGCCCGGGCCCAACTATCCTGGCCCGAGGCCCGGCCGGGCCCAGGCCCGAACCGGGCCCGAACCGGCCCGAGTCCAGGTCTACCCCAAAGCCGAAGCCCCAAAAGATCGAGATGTTCAGTCTCGTATCCTTCCCAGTCCCAAGACCAAATGTCTAAAAGCCTACTGCTAACTCCCCCTTCATGTCTACTTATACTAAAATCCTCCCAAACCTTTATTACTTATTACTACTATTACTATTACTATTACTATTACTATTACTATTACTATTACTATTACTATTACTATTACTATTACTATTACTATTACTATTACTATTACTATTACTATTACTATTACTATTACTATTACTATTACTATTACTATTACTATTACTATTACTATTACTATTACTATTACTATTACTATTACTATTACTATTACTATTACTATTACTATTACTATTACTATTACTATTACTATTACTATTACTATTACTATTACTATTACTATTACTATTACTATTACTATTACTATTACTATTACTATTACTATTACTATTACTATTACTATTACTATTACTATTACTATTACTATTACTATTACTATTACTATTACTATTACTATTACTATTACTATTACTATTACTATTACTATTACTATTACTATTACTATTACTATTACTATTACTATTACTATTACTATTACTATTACTATTACTATTACTATTACTATTACTATTACTATTACTATTACTATTACTATTACTATTACTATTACTATTACTATTACTATTACTATTACTATTACTATTACTATTACTATTACTATTACTATTACTATTACTATTACTATTACTATTACTATTACTATTACTATTACTTCTATTATTAGTCTACTATAAGTGGGTTCCTATCAATACTCCCTTCCTAAACATCCACATTGTCCTCAAGGTGGGTAATAGGAGAAAGCCAAAATCTTTTGCTTCCTCTTCCTCTTCCTTGTTCCTCTCCTTTCCCAATATCAAACTGATTGTGAGACCATGAACCTTTCCAAAGATGTCTGGCAGCTTACAAACCCCACCACCACTCTGGATCCTGATGCCATGTACTGCCGGATGTATACTGGTGTATTGACAAGCAAGGAAGGAACTGCACATTGATAACCAGCACATTGATACTGAGGTATAGCTATAACTTTTTTTCCCATCAAGTAGGGTTCCACTTCTATAATTCCAGCATCTACATTTAGCTTGGTTTCCCTTACAAGAGCACAAGTGGAACAGTTCAGTTCTGGTTCATTGGAGCCTAAGATCATATTGTAAGGTTGAAAATTTGCTTCAGCTTCCAATCCCATGACAATACTCATGTAACCAACTGATATTCAAAAGTAAATTCATCAGCCCCTTTCAATCTATAATTACAGGAGCCCCAATTTGCATAAAGTGTCAAACTGCAGCCCTTAACTCCCATCCCAGATTTGACATTGGAGTGAATGAAGACTGATCCTTCAAATGCACAAATCTGTGGATCATTCTTTCCCAACTACCCTGCTAAGATACTCTGAACTTTTACCCCCTTTTTATCCGCAATAACTTGATCCTGGCTGTCAGAATCAGCAACATACTTATCCATAGACACATCATTCACCAATTCCTTTTGAAAAATCTTCCTAGAAGTAACCCTTTCCACTCTAAGACTTGTTCATTCCTTCTAACGTAATGTTTGATGACTGACAACCCATTGTTTCAGTGTTGAAGACATTTGGCCAGTTCACCAGCTGTACAAGGTGAGAAGGAACATTACCTATCTGAAGAAACTTGAACCTATTCGTTTCAAGGTTTGGCTGGTCCAGATCGTACTTGAAAAAAATCTTACCCCTGGTGAGTTCAGCAACAGCACCAGCTTCATGTTCAAAGTTATCTGATGATTTCTTCTTGTGTTCCTTGTCACCAATCTGTTGATTAGTCAACTCCTGATGCAATTCAGGGGACTCAAATGGATATTGCGAAATGGGGTCTTCTGTTTTCCTAGAAACCAGAGGTCCTGAAGAAATTGCTTGTGAACTTGGAGGAGCGACTTGATATGAAGAACGTGAACAGTGAGAATGGACTGGCGAGGAGGAATATTCTCCCCTCACTCGCGTCTTAATTGGAACCGAACTGATAGCCGGTGACAAATTCCGCGAATGATGATGCGAAGAGCGATGCGATGAACCTTGTTTGTCAGTTAGCGGAAGAGACCTATTCTTCCTCGATCGTTCTTCAGTTCTTCTGCGACGCCTCTGATCTTTCAATTCCTCTGAACTCACTGAGTGTTGCAATTGATGATGGTGAGAAGGGCGAAACGATGCAGATGAGCGAGGTGATGCAGCTGAGGTGTGCGATCTACTTCTAGATCGATCTGTCATTCGCGAGTGATGATGCGAAGTATGACGAGAAGAGCTATGCGAAGAGCGATGGGAAGAGGTATGCTCAGATCAATGGGAAGAACCCTGCGAAGAATGATGCGAAAAATTCTGTGCCTGGTGAGAAATTGTACGCGATTGTGACATATGAGAAGAAGTTCGCGATTTGGACTGCGATGAGGAATTTTGCGTATGGTGAGAATTCTTCGGCGACTCTGTCTGCGACCTTCGCGACTCCTTCTGCGATTGTTTCTGCGACTTTGTCCTCGATCTTCCTTGTGAGTGCCGATTGTTTATTTGCACGGTTAATTTGCTCATCTCTTCTCAAAACCGCTTGCTTTGTTCGCGCATATTGTCGCAAAACCTCCTGTTTTGTTCACGCATCTTTTCCATCGTGTGCTCCCAATTTTCCATTGTTCCTACCATGTATAGGTCTACAGGTAACAAGATCGTTTTGCTCTGATACCAATGATAGAGTAACACTATCCAATACAGAAGATTAACAAAAATCAACAATAGAAATCAAGAAATCTGTTATTGATATCAATGGAGATACACCGTACACAAGTTCCCAAAGAAAGAGATAAAACTCTAACTTCCTAGCCAAGACACTAGTCTAGAAACAGCCTGCCTAATCCTGCAGTGTTTATTCTATTTATAGCATTCTCAACAGAATGGTAGTTATTAGCTTTCAACAATAAAACTAATAACTAACTAACCTAGTCTATTTTCTAGGCTTTCGTACATAGACTTGCCCATAGAATTTGTCCCCTTCACTTAGACTAGTTGGGTCCCTAACACCAAACCCTTTATCCCCGGCTTTAGTTGTCTCGCTCTGGGTTATTGCTTCGCGCTTTCCGGCCTTTCAGTCAGACTAGATGAAGGAGTCCGACCGATGATAGCCCTACACGAACAAATATTTGAAAAAGAATCACTTCCATCTCATCTTTATGAATAAATAGCAATTTGGCTTTAATCACTGTGTCATCTGCGATTAAAATCTCTCAATTCAGATTTCTTTCGCTCAACTTGTCACTTCTCCTTCACCGACTTCTCTTGTTCAGACATCTCACCTCACTTCTCCCTCCGAACCAGTTTGGCCATAGTTACAAATTTTATTCCATGTATTTACATTGCCTCTCCCTTCTCAATATCCAATTTTCCATTGTAAAGACCCAAATATTCAGAATTGAATGCTCGCTGCTATATCCATATTATGTAAGATGATCTGAATTTATTTTTAAAAATAAAACAAACATAAATGTGGAATCTTTTGTGTTCTTTTGTAGATCTGAATCTTTACAGTTCCATCACTCCAAACTTATAGAAGTCATTGATGATCTTTTGCTCTTTTGAGTGTAAATCGGTTACTTTGAGCGGAAAGTGATAAAAATAATCATTCACCCGGCCTGTTTCATTGTGTTTGCTACTTTTCTTTCGTTACTTTGAACTTTGAAACTTTAGCTTATTAGTGAAAACAAAACTATTTAATGTTTATCAACCTTTGATCTGAATTTTATTAGTGATATACTCAATGGTAGTGAAATCACATTGTTTATGTTTATTAGTGAAATCATCACTGCTTCAGGGAAAATATATCCTGCAGTGAAAGGTAAAAGTTTTCATTCTTTTCTTATTCCCATTTCCGAACAAATAAAAAAGCTAAGTAGTATAATATTCAAGACTGCCATTAAACTTGAAATGAGTACATAGAGTGATGTTAAATGTTTTAAAGTACATAGGGATTTCATATAAATATTAAGTTGAGATGATGATTTTGCGTAATCCAGTCATGCACGTACTTATCTTGGAGCTAAAGGGGCAACTGAAGTGATGGCTTCATTAAT